CAATCGTTATAAAATCAAATTTAAATAAACAAAAGGAAAATAAATGAACAGTTTACTGGTTTAATTAAAAAAAAATATTATTTGAGATCAAAATATTTTTAAGATAAAAAGAAACTCTCTATAAGAAAATGAAGTTTGATAATTTTGAACTGAATATAGATAGATCAAATCAATGATATTTAAATATTTTTTTAGTCGGTCAAATTTTACATTAATTTTATTTGTCGGGACAATTTTATAAGGTACATAATTATCATACAAATTAATTAAATTATTATAATATTTCTTTTGAATGGTTCCTTTCACTCGTTTTAATTTTATACTATGAATAAATTCCATTTCTACTTGATTCATTAATGTTTTATTATTATCCATTGATACTATTTCATTATTTTTTTTTCTGTAATAGTATTTTATGATTATATTTTTGCTTTTATTAATAAATCATTATTCCAATACATCATGATTGTTTTTGAACAAATATGGCCATTAAATTAAATAGAAAATAATAGCTAAATTAATAAATAATGATCTTACGTATTTTTATTTAATATGTCTATCTCTTATTCTTTATTTATAAGTTTTATATTTAATTGTCAAATTATTTTAATTGATTGTTCAGTCTCACCACAGTAATTTTTAATTTCATAATCTTATATTATTTTATAATTAATTATCAAAAAAATATGAAATGGTTTTGATTAACTCATCGGTATTAATTAGGTTCTTATGTTAACCAACTCATCATTTCATAAAACATTATTTTAAAGTAGTAGCATATAATAAAAATACTTTCTTGTTTCATTAATTTATATAAAACAAATTATCTTAATATTTTGTAAGACTTAATTTATTTTGTTGGTGTTCTATGACAAATTAAATTTGATGGTCAATAATGATTCTTATTACCAATTATACTCTCGTTTAAAACTATTATTAATATCACGAAATAAATTTCTGTTGAATTCATTGTTTAAATCAACATTAAACTAATTTAAATAAAACAGACAATAGCTAATTATTAATAACTAATATTAAAATAGTTCATTATATTTTAAAATGCTTGAAAAATAGTTAAATAGTATGGCATTATAATTTATAGAAAATTATGATTAAAGATAAAACATAACAACAATTAGTTGTTAATTATAGTTAATTCATCATATTGTACGAAACTGCTTCAAGTTGTAATAAATTATCCAATTATATTTTTTTTATTTGAAACAATAAAAAGAAAGAACTAATATAGTTTGATAACTCAACTACTTACTTCTCAAAATTGAAAAAGTGACTATAAAAAACAAACATAAATTGAATGTAATGTTTATAAATAAACAGAATTATTAATACCAGTTTTTATATGTTTTATTCTATTATTTGTAAAAATCTTCTAAATTCTATTTTATACTTTTTGATATCAAACATAAAGAATATTTAGTACTATTAAATATTTTAATATTAATATTTAACAATATTAGTCTAATTATAAGAAAGTTCATGACTGTCTTTGTTAAGTGGGTTCTTATTTTCATTACATTAAAAAATAGACACACTAATTTGTGAATTTGATTTATTAAATTAAAATGAAAGGGTACATCCAAAGAAAGGAAGAGATGTTATCAGAAAAAAAAGAAACAATTTAAAGACATTACATTTTTCGGATAATATAAGTTCATCTTTCAATAAAACTCTTAAACAATAATTTGATCAAATCCATAATATTTCATTATAAAAAATATTCATTTTTCATTTGTAAATTTTTAACAATAAAAATGAATAATAAATTATTACAAAAATAAATATTTAATTATGGATGACTTACTAATAACATAAATCCTTTAGTCAACACCAATAAGAGGTATTAAAAAAACTAGTTTATAAAAGAAACCGTTGTTAGTCAAATTACTAAATAATAAAATACAAAGGCATTATTCAAGGGATGAGATAATCATTAGTGTTGTATTTGAATAAGAATATTATTAATATCATTACTTGTTAATGTATCAATATCAATAACAACGTCATCTTCTCCTGGTTTATATTTCTGAGCAATTGCTCCTAATACTTGAGAAGAAGCGTTTTTGAGTTCTTGGATTAAGTTAGTTCGTAGTTGAGTTAAAGGGATATCAGTGGGTTGAATTAAAGGAGAAATTTGTGTAGGTATTGGTGTTAGTTGAGAATAGTCTGTTTCTATGTAATTTACTTTTGATTGATTAAGTGATAAGTAATCATTGAGTTGAGATTCAGGTTTTACAAGTGGATATTGATTATAATCAACTAAAGTCATTGGATAATTTACCATTGGGTATTGTGAATTTATCACAGGTAATGGTGCTATGGATTGATTTAAAAGAATTCCTTCTTGGGGTGGTTGAATTAGAGGAAATTCTGTTTGTATTGGAAGAGAAGGTGGTTGTAATTGGGAGACATTACTAAAACGTATTAATACATAATTCAGTTTAATTGATACAAATCTAAGAAGACGTAGAAAAATAAATGTTAATTATTTACTTATTCATAATAAATGAAAGTTAATAGTCTAAATAAAATTTAATAATATAACAAACTGTAGTTGAGAAGCATCACCATAATTATCAAAGAATTGATTAATGTGATGTACAAATGTTAAAAATAATTTCTTTTTAATTTTTGATTCTAAATATGTGTTAGCAATGATTCTTTTCTTTAATAAATTTAATTGAAGACACATTGATTGAAAATCATTTGCTGATAAAACTTCTTGATAATGTTCGTTTAATACAAAATTAATGTACGGAATTGCTATTATCGTTTGTTTAATTTTTGTTATATGGTCAGTATTTAAACAAAATATGACGTCTGATGTTGGGTTTTCAAGAGATAAAAGATCCTCAAGTCCAAAGTGTTCTTCTGATTTACTTGAATTACTCATGATGCTTCGTTCTCAATAAATTATGAGTTCTTTTTGTTTATTTCTTTTTTTCATTTTACTATTTCTTCCTTTCTCCTTTCTATTACTTTAACTCATAGTTCTATTCCTCTACCAATTCTTTCACATTAAACACCAACTAAATTAGAACCATTCACATCACTTGGGTCACCACTAAAATCACTTCTTCATTTTTTTACAATCTCCTTATTTTCAATGGAATTTCACTTCAATTTTATTGATTTTATTGTACCAAAAAAACAATTTATTTTATTTTGTTTTACAAAACAGTTTTAATTAGTTATTAATAAAATAGGAAAATAAATAACAATATTTCAAGAAGAATCAAATCAGAAAAATGTTTTTTTATCAGTAAAACTACAGAAATTTCTAGAAATAAAATCTTATTTGAAGATATTTTTAAGCACAACTCTTTGAACTTCACATCATTCTCATGAGTTCATACATACACACACTACCAATAAACACTTCTTCAGAACCAGAAAAGGTAAAAAAGAAGGTTGTTAGAATATGGACAACAAGAGAAGAAATGTTGTTGATAGAAGGAATTAAACGATATGGAATTAATAATTGGGAAGAAGTTGCTTCTATGGTTCCAACTAGAACAAAGAAACAGTGTAGAGAGCGTTATCTCAATAACAATGAATCAATCTATCATCGACCTTGGAGTCAAGAAGAGGACAATCTTATTCTTCAAAAAAGAAAAGAAATAGGAAATAAATGGACAATTATCGCAAGTTATTTGAAAGGAAGATCACCAAATGATGTAAAGAATCATTTCTTTGGAAGATTGCAAAAAGTCAATTGTATTAAAGAAGAAACAAACCTTCATACCACTAACATTATTCCAAGTGAACTTTCAACTCTTCAGAGTATATTTAAACCAGTAGAGCCATCTCTTTTTTCTGTTATATAGAAAGTTCTATGTACTTTAATTAAGATATTTTTCATATAACTCCTTTATATTCATTTGAAATAATAAAGCGAAAATTTCTTGGCGATTTAAAAATATAACTATTCTATTTTTATTTATGTTTACAATTCTAAAAATAAATTGAAAATATAAAATAAAAGTTCTTCCAAAAACTTTAAAATAGTATTATAATATTTTGTAAAACTTTGATTGATAACGATTATCTTTTAATCAATAATCATCTTAAGAATTTTCAGAAAAGTTGTAATAATGCTTATGGTTATTTCTATTTAAACTTGTATTTACAATTATCGAATTACATTGGAAGAAGTGATGAATAATAAATTAATTAAAGAAGAAGTAGAAACACTTACAAGCATTCAACAATCAATTGATGATATTAATAAACATTATCATTATTATTTAGGAAGTATTAAAAATGAAATATTTGAAATAAAACCAGATGAAACATATTCAGAAACAATTAAAAGAGGAGAAGGAATATTTGATAGAATTGATGAAACAGAAAGAAGAAGAAAACTAATAATAGAAAAAAATCAAGAAACAATTAGAGTAGTTGAAATAATAAAGAATCAAATAAACAAAATAATAGAAGAATATAATAAAGATGAAGAAATAATTAATAGAACGAAGAATGAACTAAACACAAATCATTTGAACTAAGAAAATGAACTAAGAAAATAAAACTAAACCATTAGAAGAAGAAGAAGTCAATAATATTAAAACAAGATTTAATAAGAATAAAGAAGAATGGAAATTACACTACAGTGATTATTTAGAGATAAAAAAGAGAGTAGAAATGAATGAGCACAATAGAAGAAATGAAATAAATAGAAGAATGGAAAGAATATTATTCAATATAATATTTAATTCAGATAAAGATAATTGGAATATTAATACATCAGTATTTGATCAAAGAATAATAAATAAAGAAAATATAATAATTATTTTTGAAGATGAATTTGGAGGATATAATAATGAGAAAATTGATAGATTTAGTTATATAAATGATACAAAACCATTTTTTTTATTAAAATTAAATGATAGAATCAATGGAACGATAAAATTTGATATTAATGAACCAAAACATGCATTATTTTATATGAACAACAATATAGTAGTTTGTTTGAATTTGGATTATAGGAAAGCGATATCCATGTTTATAAATAAAATAATAAAACATAGTCATATTGTTATCAACACTCATTTGAATACAAAAGAATAACAAATTGACTTTATGGAAAAACAACATCCAGAATATTTCACACCACAACGAATCATTATTATTGAAATGAAATGATTTTTATTCATTATTATTTATTTGAAATATAAAAATTAAAAAAGAATATAAAATAAAATCAATAAATGAATTGAACATTTCATTTCAACCTTTAATTTGATAGAATAGTGAATATAAGTTGATACAAATTTAAATACATTAAAAATAAAATAACTTTAAATAGTATTAGATATACTTATTAAAAGGAAATCAACAAATCAAGTATTCATGAATAATAACGTTAGTCAAAGTAAAATGATTCAATGTTTAAAAAACAATTAATCAAAGTTTGTTAATTAACATAAATTAAAATATTCATAAGAATAAAAATTGCAATTACATTAAATAATCTCACTTTTTAATAGGTGTTTTTAGTATAAAATTAATTTACTATGATAATATCAATTAAACAAAACAAACAAAATATGAATGGTTCTTTAAAATTAATAAATTAAAACAATACTAAAATCTTTTTAAAGTACTGAATGATATTATTGGTGGTATTTTTTGTTCTTTTTGTTTAAAACTTTACTTTAACAAAAGAAGAAGTGTTATTAATGAAATAATAATTAAAATAGCATTAATAATCTTATTATAAAATAAAGAATATTTTTATTTTAGTTGAAATAAATATAAAATGTTATTTTAAAAGAATTCAAATTTAATAAAATTTATAATATTTTTACTTTTTAAAAAAAAAAGATTTGAAAATGAAAGAAGTAAAAAATAAATTCATTTGTTTTAAGTTTAAGGTAATTCAATTGTATCACATTTAGTAATTCCATGATGTTTTTCAAATGGACATCTGAATATATTTTTACCTGGTTTATGAATTAAGTCGTGATATTTTCCTCCAATAAAATCATAACATTTTTTTGGAGCTTGTTTTTTCCAATACTTCTTTCCACAAATAATACGTGCTATTTTTCTTTTTCTTAATTCTTCATTTTGCTTCATGTTAGCTGTTTTTCTAAATCTAATACATCTTTTCTTCCATAACATATCTCTTCTTTCCAAATACATTTTTTTTAAATTCTTTTTTAATGCAAGAATTCTCTTTCGTCTCATTCTTTCTCTCATAGTTTTCATTCTAATAATTTTAGCTAATGTCCTTTGATTTAAAATATCTTTTTCAACTCCACTTAATTGCATTTGATGTTTTAATTCTTGTTCTTCTAATTGTCGTATCTTTAATTTAAATTGATTAATTAAACTTCGTTTTTCATTAATTTCATCAGCTTTTTCAAGTAACATCTTTCTAATTAATAATGCTTTCTTTTCTGCTTTAACTTTTTTGATAACTTCAATACTTCTTTTATTATACTCTTTTGCAATTTTACTTAATCTTTTAACAAGACCTCTTGCTTTACATTCTAATGACTTAATCTTCTTTTGTTCTTCTAATTTCTTTTTATAAATTTTTTCTTCTGCTGCAAGTTTTTTACTTAAAATATCTTTTAATGCTTTAATTTTTAAATACCTCATTTTTGTTCTTTCTGATCGAATTGTAGCTGTTCTTATTGCTGCTTTTCTTTCTCTTCGTGACTGAATTCCTTTTTTTGTGATTTTGATATTTGTTTCTATTTCTTTTTTAGCATTTGCTACTTCATTCATTAATTCAGTAGCTTCAATCTTTCTCTTTCTTTTCAAATCTTCTTTTTGAAGCATTAAATTAACAGCTTTGTCTTTAAGATCTTCAATCATTTTAGCTTTTTCTTCTGCCTTTTTCATTTTTTGTTGTTCTAATAATTTTTTATATCTAATTCCTTCTCTTACAATTTCTCTTTTAATTTCTTCTGCTTTTCTGAGATTTAATAATTGTTTTTGTGTTTCTTCAATAGTTAATCGTTTCATCTTTCTTTCCATTTCAACTTCTGTTCTAAATTTTTCAAATTCTAATGCTCTCATCTTTCTTAATTCCATTTCTTTTTTCATTAACGCATCTTTTCTTAACTTTCTTTCTTTATCAAATTTTTCTAATAATCGTTGATGAGCAATTTTAAAAGCTTTATCTTCCTTTTCATGTTGTGCTTTTATTTTCTTTTCCATTTCTTTTCGTTTTTTATTAAGTGCTTTCTTTAATTTTTCTATTTGAACCCTTCGTCTTTCTGCATCAATCTTATCACGTAATTGAATTTTTCTTTGATATTCTATTCGTTTCATTTCTTCTTCTGTGTAATTCTTTAATGCAGCAACATCGTTTTGAGTTTCTATAAAACTTCCATTGGCACGTAACAATGCTAATTTTGCCTCTTCGACTTGTTCTCTTAAGTGTTCTCTTTTCTCAAAGTCTTGTGATTGTGCTTTGATTTTTTTCATTCGAATTTTATGCTCCTTGGCAAGTTCTTCGGTTTGTTGTAGTAATGCCTTTCGTGCTTTTTTTGTTTGTTCTTTTAAAGCATTTCGTGTAACTTCTGCATCAGCAAGTTCTTTGATTAGTTTTTGTGTTTCGTTTGTATTTAATGGATCAGCTTCAACAACAGGAATAGGTTTTGAAGTGTTTGTAGCATCGTTAATCAACTTGTCAATAGAAGATTGTTTTTTTTCTGTTGCATTGACTTTTGGATTTGCAGATACAAGGACAACTAATAATACAAAATACAACAACTTCATGTAAATAATATAAACTTTTTTAGTTGTTGAGATCTTTTTTTCTTTCTTTTTTGTTTTTATCAATACTTTTTTTTTTAATTTTTTTTTAGGTTTGTGTTTTGATTTTTAAATAACAAAATTTAGTAATGTGTTATTGAATATTTCTTCACTTCTTACAACTTGTTTATTATAGAAATAAGCCAACACAGATATAAATTTCCTGGTAGTTGTTCTGTTTAAAATCAACCAGTTGATAGCAAAATGAATTGAGTGAAAAAAAAAAAACAAAAATCAAGAAATGAGAATGGATTTTACATAATAAAAGAAATTAAAAAAAACTATACTTCCAAGAAAGAATATGAAAAAGTGAATTATTTCAATCAACAAGAAATTTTAAATTTTGTGAAAAGAAAAGAAAAAGATATATGAGATGATCTTAAAAATCATACTATCATATGCAAGTCATATACATTTTATTAATTGTTATCAGTGCTCTTGCAGCCCCTAGATGTACACCAACTACAGTTACTAATATTGTTAGTGAACTTAATCCACGTCAACCATACGGAACAAGTTTTCTTGAATTTGAAGCTTATACAAAGGCTTTATTAAGTGAAGAGGTTAAAATTCCACCTGAAAACAGAACTGAGGCTATTCAAAAGAGATTGAATCAAATCAATAAACAACAACCACAGGCAGTCAATAAGACCCAAGAAGTTAATGAACAAATTGAAAAGATCAATATCAGTATTAAAACTATTGAACAACAAAGTGCTAAAGTTAATGCCTCTATTATCGAATCATTAAAGAAAATTAATGAAACACAAAATTCAGAGAAACTTGAATTAAAAGCTAAAATGGAAGAAGTTGCTAAAGAAAAAGCTTTAGTTGAAGCACTTAATAAGAAAAAAGAAGAATTAAGAAAGAAAACCCTTGAATATTATAGACTTAAAATTACAGCAGAAAAGATTGTAGAAGCACAAGCAGAACAAATGAGAAATAGAAGAAGATTTATTAGAGACTTTGAAGAGGCTAAAAGAAGAAACACAGAAACAAAAGAAGCAGTTGAAAAAGTAAGGCAAACAGAACATAAAGAAAGAGTAGCTGCCATTAAGAGAACTAAAGAATATTTAAATAACTTAAGACAACAAGATATTGCACAAGAAATGAAAGAAAGAGCTGATAATTTAAAGAAAGAAGAAATAGCAGAGATGGTAAGAAGAAAAATGTTAATATTAGAAGAAAAAATTAAAACTGCAAAAATTCAAAATAATGAAGAGGATAGAATTAAATTAGAAAAACAACTTATTGAATTAAAAAGATATAAAAAAGCAAAAATTGCATGTGCTAGAGATGCACTTAGAAAATATAAATTAAAACAACAAAAGAAAGTAGAAGATTTAAAACAAAAAGTACTTGACAGTAAACTAAAGAATAAATTAGAAATTGCAAAGAATGATTATATGGGAAAAATTAAAGCAGAATTAGCTGATGAAATTGATGAATTAAAAAAACAAAAAACAGCTTTTGAAACAAGAAGAGTAATTGCTCATAAAAAAATTGCTAATGAAGCACAAATTGAACAAGATACCTTAAACGCTGCAAAAGTAACTCAAATGAGAAAGAACAGAGAATATGAAATGAATAGAAGGGATATTAATAATATGAGAAATAAAGTACTTAAAGCTCAAAAACAACAATTAGAAAGAGATGCTACTCGATCAATTTTAAATAATGTTATTGCTAGTAATGAAAAAAGAAATGCCTTAGATAAATCAGCTACTTTAGATATCCAAATGGCTAAAGGTGATACTGCTAATAAAAAGAAAATTATTCACACTGTCGCTAAAGAAATAAAAAATTCAGTTGAAAGTGAAAAGAAAGGAATTGATACCTTAAAAGATAAAGCCGTTAAGTCACAACAAGAAAGACAAGGTCTTAAAGCTCAAATTGCCCGTGATATTCTTATTGATGCTCATAATAGAAAAATAAACCAATTAAAAGAAAGACAAGAAGAAATTAAAGAAATGGTTCAAGACAGAATTAATAGAAGAAATAGAAAAGCTGCTTTGAAAGTAAACAAAGCTGAAAACAAAATTGCTCTTGCTAGATTACAAGGTAAATTAGATAAGAGATATGTTCTTAAGAGAGAAGAAGTTGCTTTAAAGAATGCCAAAGCATTGTCTGATGCTGTTAGTGGCGTTCTTCCAAACAATACAGACAAATTCATGAAAATCAAAACCTTTAAAGTAAAATGTGGTAAATTAGCTAAAAAAATGTCAACTCCATGCACTGAACCAAAATAAAAATACGATAACTCATCTAAGTTAATGTTTTGATTTTTTTCATATTAATCAAAATTTTTTAAAATAAAAGAGAACTTTTAATTAACTTATAATATTAATTTTATTTAAAATTGTAAAATCATTGATTCTCAGTTTTTAAGTGAGAATAGTTTATAGGACATTCTTATTATTGTCATGTTAAGACATTCACACTACCATATGTACTAGTAATTGAAATTCAAAATAAAGTTTAGTTATTTATTTGAAAATTGTGTTTTCTTATTAATACTTTTATTCTGTTGTTAATTGATCTAATAGATATTTTTAGAATTGTCATTATTTTATGTTTACAATTTAATTATTAATTTTTCTTCTTGTTAATATTCTAGATATATTTATTTTGTTTTTATAATAAGAAAAGTAGGAAACGTTTCTCCATCTTTAATAAGTATTTTTAATGTTCCTCTTTCTACTTTTATTCAAATTATTTGAACAATATTTTATACAGCTTCATGAACATAATCTCTTCGTTTGAATATGCTAAGTATGCAGCTCCTTTTGCAATAGCACTAAGTGGATTAAAACTCTTATCAGAAATTGATTGTCTATCAAATAACCCACCAACTTTATCTCTAATTCTTGGCATTTTACATGTTTCGCCATTTAATATTATTAACTAAACATCTCATTTTTATATCTTTTCTTTGAGTGACTTGTTGTATTTTATAATAAATTCTTCATATATTCCTCTTTTTTCAGATTCTTCTTCAAATTCTTTTCTTGTAATAGTAGAATCGATAATTTCTTCATCATAACCATCAGATAATAATATTTCTAAATTTAATTCAATATCAATTTTATTACTTAATTCAATTTTAACTCTTTCTGATTCTTTCTTTAATCTAACTAATTTCTTGTTCAGTATTGTCTTTTCTTTTTGAGTTATTTCTTGTTTCTTTTTATAATGTCTTGAAATACTTTCTTCTTTTCTCTAAGAATATCAGTCATCACTTTATCAATTTCATTTCCTCCAAAATTTTAATTTTCTCCACTTGACTCCACTCCAAGAAGATTATTTTCTATTTTACAGCATTTACATCTAATGTTCCTCCAAAATCAATTACTACAATTTTATTTCCATTTTTATTGTATTTTGATATTCTCTTTTGTATTCACTAATCGCCATTGTTGGTTTATTATCAAGTGAAATATTCTTAATTCATGATAATTTACATGCTGTTAATGTTGTATCTCTTTGTCTATCATTAAAACAGCTGGAACAGTAACAACAACATTTGATATTGGATGATTACCAAGTTTTTCTTGCCCAATTGCCCAATAGCGTACAAACATTTTAACATCATTCAACTAACTTCTTCTTGTTCAAATTATTCAATACATGAGTTAATTGATCATAGTATTCAATATAAGCACTTCATTTATCATACTTCTTCCTTTAAATGGTTTCACGATTTTCATAATTCATATCATTTTTATTTCTTCCTATAACTCTCTTAGAATCATAAATAAGACATCTAGTATGAATGTCATGTTTTGATTTATTTAATATAACAGCAAATCAACTACTAGTTAATTATGAGAGAGGAACACATAGTAGTATTTGTTCTTTTCTTAATTCATCTTGAAGCATAACAGGTTCATTTCTAACAATACCGTAATAAGCAACTGAAGAGAAAGTAGTTCCTAAATCAATTCCAATTGAAAATAAGACTTATTGTCTATTCATCAAATGGAATTTATAATTGAATTGAATGCTATGAAACATGTTTTATTTTAAATTTTTATTAAACCAAATATCATTCAATATTTATGTTTTTATTACTTAAAAAATAAAAAAAAAACTTACAAGAAATAATAAAAAAATAGTGAAAATTATCTTTTTTATTTGTCAGTCATATTATAATATTTTATTAATCTATTATATCTTATTTGAGTTGTTACAACATTTATTCCTTTTTCTTATGATTATTTATAAAAACTGGCGATACAAATAGGTAAATATTATAGAAACATCATTACAAAAAGTTGTTAATTGTTTATTTAATTATTCTAAATAATCTTATAATTTAGTTAATTTTTCAAGTAATAAACTTGGTTGTTCATAGGCATATAACGGAATTATACAGATGTATTTGTTTAAAAGTGTTCATTGATGAATAAATCATTTTTTAGTTTTATTCTTTTTAAATACTATTAAAACACAATCAGATTCGTACATTAATATTAATGTTCATCAATAAAAACGAAGTACTAAATTAATTATTAAGAAATTAAAAGGATAACAACTAATTATCAATTTAATTTACAATCAAATAATAATAAGTTCAACTGACTCAACAAGCCATTAATTAAATACAATTTATATTTAAAATTGTATGAATATTTAATAAATAATAATTATATAACAAATAAAAGAAGGTATAGTAAAAACTTTAAAATGTCATATCAAATAAAGAATGTACATAAAAAATATCATGAAATGTATTTGTTTACATTTCTTCTTGTTATATTTTTTATATCAATATTCTTTAAACATCTAAAAAAAAATACCAAACTTAATACAATAAATTATAATGAAATAATAAAATGAATTGTATTTTCATATTAAAAAAAAGAATTAGAAAGAGAAATTAAATAAGAGTTTAAACATAAACTCAGATAATAAAAGAAATAATTTAAAGAAAAGAGAATTTATGAAGATTAGTATAATTAAATTGTATAAGCAAAAATCTTCCATTGAAAAAATTATTTGTAGCTAAATAAAGTTAGAACTCTTATTAAGTATCAACACGAGTAACTTCTTTTCTTATTTTCTTGAGGTTGTGTGAATAAATAAAAGTCCACTAACCTATAAATTGAGTTTTTCAAAAATCATTTAAATGAAGGATTGATTATTAGTTCATTACACTCTTTTTTGGTTTATATGAAAAAATAAAATAAAAATTTTAAAACAAACAACACATTTAAAGAGTAGGAGGTAAAAATTCATTCATATTTTTCATTTCCATAACGTCAAGTGTTACACTTGGCATTGGTCCTATTCCTTCTTGTGATTGTTGTGGGATTGAAGTAAGAGTTGGCATGTCATCAACAACAGGTTTAATACTATCAACATGAGTTTCTTTTGTTTTATTTGTTTTAGCAAGTTCAACGTAACGAGTTTTTTCTGTTTCAGGTAAATCTTTCCACATTGATGATAATGTTGTCATTCCTTTTCCCCTACTTCCTTTTTCACGAACATTTTCTCTATGATCTCTACAGAATAATAAGAATGGATTGCACTCAGCTCTATTTTTACCAAATTCACTTCTTACTTGTCTTTTTCGTTTATTTCCAATATATTCACCTCCAAGCATAACGATTTGAACTGCAGCTGCTTTTCTGAAATCATCTAATATCTTTTCATTCTCTTCATTTTTCCACATGATCTCAGCTCGTTCATTTGCTTCCTCATAATCACATTCTCCAGCTTTGACAATATCTCTTGATTTCCAATAAATGTATAATGCTTGTGCCATTTCCTCAACATCTTCATTTGCAATATCTCTTTTTTTCTTTTTCGTTTTCCCCCCATTTAAATTAACATTAGGTTCTAATGGTTCAATAGGTGTTGGTTCCATTTATTTTTCATTTTTAGTTTTTCTTCCTTTTAATTCTTTTTTCTTATTATTCTTTTATTATTTTTTACTATTATTTAATAATTCATCAAAAACAAAAAAGTATTTTTTTTGGTTTTTCTCTTTTCTTAAATTTTAAGTTCTCTCTCTTTTTTTTTTTTTTTCTCTTTTTAAAAACAAAATATCTTTTTTTTTTCTCAAAAACATTTTTTTTATTTCTTTTTCTTCTTCTTTCCAATAAATTCAACATATTCCTCATCATATTGTTTAAGAATGATCATTACTTGTGGTGATTCTTTTGTATTTTGGTTTGTTTCAAAAGATTTTTTGATTGTTGGATATTTTTTAATAAAAATATCTTCATTTTCAAAAGATATAATCATAGCTTTGATAATTTCTGGATGCATATCTTTAATTGATGTTTCATTATACATAATACTTCCAATATCTACTTTGTTTAGTGTTGTGTATTCAAAATTAATTGGATTTCCAGATTTAATTTCTAAAACAACTTCATTAATATTTTTTATTTCAATTATTTCATCCTCATTGATAATTTTAAATCCTCCATCAAAAAGAATCAACCTATCACAATTATAATCTTTTATTATTTTTTTTGCCTCTTCCATTTTAATATCTTCTTTAAATAATGTTTGAATTATAAATCCTTCACTTCTTAAATTACGTGCTAATTTTAATGGTTCTACACTTTTTATACTTGAAATTATCATTATTTGAGAAGTATATTCATGTTGTGATGTTGGTTGGATTGAATAAACAACTAAATCACATACAAATCCATAATTTGTTTCATCTATTTTTCTTATTGATTCTTGATGTTTTTCTAGTGGATAATAACAACCAGACAATGGAGTTGATGATAAATGAGAAGATGGAGTAAGTTTTTGTGTTTCATTGAATTAATAAAA